TGTAACAGTCCGGGCGATTTCCCTTGCAACCTCTTTGCAGTTGCAACCTCTTTGAAGTTCCCTTGCAACCTCTTTACACTTTGGGCAGCTGGCCACGTAACTTTCTATGTCCTTTTTCATGGATGGCCACCAAAATTGCCGTTTAATTAAGTGTAATGTTTTTACAAATCCAAAATGCCCTGCTGATTTTGTGTCATGGCAAAGCTGCACGAATGTGACTCTTTGAGTGGTTGGTATATATAATTTTTCCCCCATCTAAGGCAGTCTGTCTTTCATTGTGCACACGTGTTTATTTTTCTGGAACCATTCATCTGTTTCCAAACTTTTCCGGAATTCAATTTCGGTTTGGTTACCTAGCTGCGGTTTTAATTTAGCTTGGGCTCTGGTGATTACTGGCGCTGCCAGTTGTGATTCCACCATCATCGGTTTAGAGTTGGTGGCTCGCGTGCTGTTACATTGGGGCATGTGAGATAGTGCATCTGCCATTTCCCCCTGGCAAATATTTGAGCGTAAAGTGGAATTGGTGAAAATGTTGGGACCAACGGGCTTGCTTGGGGTTGAGCTTCCTGGGTGTTTTCAAGGCTTCCAAATTTTTGTGGTCTGTCCACACCTGGAAAGGGATTTTATTGCCTTCCAGGAACTGGCGCCACGTGAATAATGACCAACGTATCCCGTATGCCTCTTTCTCCCACATGGTCCAGCGCTGTTCCATTTCCGTGAGTTTCTTGGATGTATACGCACAGGGTTGCAATACCCCTTCATCGTTTTCTTGTAATAGTACAGCCCCCACTGCCACATCACTTGCATCTGCCTGTATTACGAAGGGCTTATCCATGTCTGGGTGCCTCAGTACTGGTTCGGCAGAAAAAAGTCTCTTCAATCTCTCAAATGCCGCTTGGCACTCCATTGTCCATGTTAGTGGCTGGCTAGGTTTTACTGAGGATGCTCCCTTTGTTTTTAGTAAATTCGTGAGAGGCAAGGCTATTTGGGCAAATGAGGGAATGAATTGGCGGTAAAAGTTTGCGAAACCCAGGAAACTTTGCAGTTGCTTTCTTGTGCGGGGTGGTGCCCATTCTAGTACTGCTCTGATCTTCTTTGGGTCCATTTCAATGCCCTGTGGGGATATGCGATAACCTAGGTAGTCTATCCTTTCCTGGTGGAATTCCCATTTTGATAGTTTGGCATATAGGTGGGCGGCTCGCAGTTTCTTTAAAACCGCTCTGACTAGGTTGACATGTTCCTCTTTTGATTCGGTGAAGATAAGGATGTCATCTAAGTAAACCAGGACCCCCTTAAATAGGTGCTCCCTTAGTATCTCGTTGATTAATTGCATAAATACTGGGGAGGGGCCCTTGTAATCCAAATGGCAAAACTTTGAATTGGTAGCCCCCCATTGGGCAGTTAAATGCGGTTTTCCATTCATCCCCTTCCTTAATTCTCACGTGGTAATGTTTCCCTTAGATCTAGTTTAGTAAAAAAAAATTCCTTTCGAGAAGTGTGACAGCATGTTTTTCATGAGGGGCAGAGGGTATAGGTTGCTTTCACTGATTGCATTCAGGAGCCTATAATCCACGCATAAGCGTAAAGAGCCATCTTTCTTCTCTCTAAAGAGGACCGGGGCGGCCACTTTAGGCTTGGCTGGTTCAATGAACCCTCTCTCTAGGTTTTTCTTTATGAATCTTTCCATTTCCTCCTTCTCCTTTGGGCTCATGGAGTATAATCTGGGCTTCGGGAGTTTTGCCCCAGGCTTGAATTCTATGGCACAGTCGGTGGGTCAGTGGGGGGGGGGAAGCTCATCTGCCCTCTCCTAGGTGAAAACTTCAGCAAGATCTCTGTATTCCTCTGGTATTTCTGGTAGCCCCTTTTCTTCTCCCATGGACGCTTTTTCCATTCTTAATTTTGGTAGATCCCCTTGGGGTTTTAAATCCGTGGGGTCCCCTTTCGGGAAATTGATTTCTGCCATCCTCCAATTTACCCAGGGGTTCCATTTCTTTAACTGTTCCATCCCTAGGATGTTGGGTATTCCATGCCTGGGGTCACTACAAATGTTATGTCTTCCTCGTGGTTGCCCAGGGAGAGGTGGATTGGTAATGTGGTAGGGTAGCTGGCACCCCCCCTGCTATGGACCCATCTAACTGACCAAATGAGATTGGTTGTTCTAGCTTTCTTGACAGAATGCCCAGATTCCCCACTAGCGTCGGGCTAATGAGGCAGCGAGTGTAGCCAGAGTCTATTAAGGCTTTCACCTTGACAGCTTCGGGTATGGAGGGAATTAATATAGTCACTGTCTTGAGGATGAGTGTGATGGGTCCACTTATCAGAGGTTCGCCCTCCGAGCTGTCGTCTGAGGCGTCCACCAGCTCTGAGGTGTAGGCTGGAATTCCCCCCCCCCCGATGGGTAGAGATAGGGGATTCCACAGCCTCCATCATTCTCATGGCACATTCTTTTGGCTTAGCTGGAGACTTCCCAGATTTGTTGGCTGGTAATCTGTCTGGGTTGTGCTAGGGGGCTTTCGAGTGGCATTCTACAGCCCGATGCCCCTCTCTCCCACATTTGAAGCAGCCCATTTGCTTCTTGGCTATAGCCGATGGTTTCACTGGTTAGTGCATCGACTCAAGAGGTGAGCGGCTCCATCATTTTCCTTGGCGGTGCCTCTTCAGTAGGTCGATCTCTGCTTCCTCTGCCAGGACGTACCATTCATCAAGTTGGTATGGGTCCCCTCGGGGCAGGCAAGTGTCGTATAGGTCGTAATTTACGCCATCTTTGAAATGGCAAAGGAGGATGTCTTCCGGCCAGTTCAGTTTGCTGGCAATGGCCCGGAATTCTTGTGTATATTTGCCTTGCCTCATCGTTTTGATCCTTTTGCGGGCTTTGCGATCGGGGGTCCTCAAATTGCCTTCTCAGAGAGGACATGAACCGGTTGAAGTCGTTGAGCTCTGGGGCATTGGAGTCGTGCAAATTCACCACCCAATCTGCGGCCGGCCCGTCCAACGCAGATTGCATGATCCGGATACGGGCTTTGTCGCTCGGGTTGTGCCGCCCGTATTCCATGTAGCTGAGGACTTGGGTTAGGAAAAACCCCAAACATGTCGGCTCCCCCTTGAATCTCACGTCCAGTGGCGGGAGTCTTTGAATGGATCAGTGCCTTCGTTGTTGGTGGTAGTGTCTTCCATCCAGATTGTCATCTGCGGGTCAGCAGGGAGTGGGGACTATTGGATCAGCAGACCTCCCCGGGGCTGTAGGTTCCACTTCCCCCTCGGTGTCTCTCCAGTTGCGGCTCCGGGAGCTGGTGTGGCCATAGGGCTCAGAATTCTCCTCTCCTAGGGAGCTGAGGGTTCTCTTCATCAGGTCGATAGCTTTCTCTAGGATTCAGCCCGAGTACAGTGCCCAGCTCTCTTCCTCTTCACTTGCATACAGGGATTTCCCCATCTCCTGCTTCCATTCTGGTTGGTTGGCCCCCCGTCTCAGGGTCACCTTTCTTGATTTCTTTTCCCACTCGCCTTTCTTTCCAACGCCCATTGACTACGAAGGTTTGTGGTCACGTGTCTCCACCACCTCTTCTCCTGAGGAATCTGACCTCTCGGATCCCGACATCTGGCAGGTTTTCAGTCGGGGCAGTGGCTCTCTTTCCGGGGAGCTTTCTCCCTTCCCTGCTCGTCTGACATGGTAATTTTTGCAAAGTCCCCCGGCAAGGTTCTCCCTTCCAGGTGGACTATTTTTGCAGATCCTGTCTAATGTAAAGACCCACCTCAATCTTACATCTTAAGAAGACAGAACTCTTGGAATGTCTCTTCGAACAGGGATCTTTATTAAGAGAAGCTGATTGTAGGGGATTTGGGGAATCCTCTCCCACCATTCAATGTTTTAAAGTGTTTCCAAGTAGCCCCCACCCCACAGTTCTTCTGGGCAATTCAATCCATCTGTCCTCTCCGTTGGCACGATCACTCATCCTCTTCTCCCAGATCCCAGGCATTGTATTTCCCACCTCCTTTTCCTCACTGCCGGCAAAGGGGAGTGAGTTGAAAGGCGATGGCCACATTGTTATCGTTAGTCCTCTCCATGAGAATCCACAAACGGTCACTTTGTAGTTAAGGAAGGAAGTGAGAGTCGTAAAACCCCCCATGCTTACCCTCCTCCCTTTTCGTAGTATGACAGAATCCAGAATAGAGTAAGAATTGGTTTTTCCTCAGAGTAGGTAGATAGAAATGAAATATAATTGGATTCTGACACTTCCAGCACAAAGGAGGCATGCCTTCTGCAATGTTCTTCCACCTCAGACCTTCAAGAAGGCCTTGGAAGTCCTCATGCCAGGATGTCCATGAGCTTGCCGTTGAGTCTGAATGGCTTGTTCGTAGTTGTACAGGCCTTTCTGCTCCTGTATTAATTTGTCTATATTTTTGTTTCTCACTTTTGGAAGCTGGCTATAATTGTATATGGAAATCACAAACTGAAATGATAAATGAAGACACTCATAGTTTTCAAATGGGGGGGGGGGGGGCGTTTCTTATGATCCCCTCTTCCCAATCCGACCCGTTTGGATGCCCTGACTCAGAATTCCTCCTTCAAGAGAAGACTTTATTTCAGCAGACAATGGCAAGTGCCACGGCTCCTTGGCCCAAGGGAGGCTGTGCAGCTACGCTTCCTTGCGCTGTCCCAGCCCCTGGTTGCTTATAGGCAAGGAAGTGTCCTTCTGTATGGCAACCAAGCACAATCTGGAGTGTGGGCTGTGCTTCAAGGGGGCAAATGGGGCTGGTGCAGAAGGAGCCCCAGCATCCATTCAAGAAAGAGCCGCCTGACCGGCAGCAAAAGGGCTCTGGCCACCAAACTTCCCAGGAGTTCGTTATAGGTAGAAAAACACTACTAAACAAAATCCATAACTTTTTTCATGAAGAGAAGCCAGGTGAAGCGCCAGGCTCATTCACAAGAGACGTGCCATAAATATTGGAAAGTTGTCCCAGGCTGCCCCAGTTGAGCCTGAGCAGACTCTTCTTTCTTGCAGTGAAGATGCCATGAGAAAGGCTGGCGTTGCTCACAGTAAGACCAGCAAAGAAATGGAAAACCATGTTTTCATGAAGGCCAAAACGCGGGTAAGAAGTTCCTTTCCTTGCTGGAGGAGGCGGGTGGGAGGGACCCCCTGCAAGGAGAAGCTGACTGGCCCTGCAGGCGACGCGGCCTACGTGCGCAAGTTCCCCTGCCTGCCGGGGGTGCTGTTCTTGGCCTGGTGCTGTTCTGTCCAGGGCTCCATCCCCGCCTGGCAGATCTACATCATGCAGGCGCCTTGCTGAATAGCACTGCAAGAAAGCCGAAGGGGTTGCTCCCTGCACTCTGCACATCATATGGCCCACCTGGGCTGCTCCCTTCCCCCCCATTGGGCACTTCTGCAGGCCCAAGCAGGAGGCACCAGAAGATGCCCCACTGCGTCAAGAAAACAGCATGAGATGGCACATTATTCCCTTCATGTGAGCGAAAGGCACCCACACCCAGTAGGTGAGAGGTGCTTTCCAGTGAAGGTGCTTAGAGTCTGGATTCCTGACTCCTCCTCCTCCTCCTCCTCCTCGGGAAATTCTCTCAGGAAGGCTCTGACCCATCTCTTCAGGGGAGGAGGACGTCTGCGCAGGACGGGACTTGAGGTTCAGGAAAGGAGATTCTGCTTGTAGGTTGGAAACTCTTCCTAAGGGGAGGAGGGTCCCCTTCTCACCCCCGGGCCAAAAGGAAATGTCCTAGTGGCGAAGGTGCCGGACTAGGAGCAGGGAGACTGCTCGCTTGGGAAGCGCCCAGACGAGTGGAAGCAGCTGAGAAGCTGAAGGGTCAGAGCAGGGATGAGGCTCCCCTCCATCCCCCAGAGTCCAGCCAGCTTTCCCTCCTTCAGTGGAACCTGAAGGGAACTGGTGATCTGCTCTTCCCAGCTCTGTGGCCCCAGATGTCCCGGACTGCATGGCACGCAATGCAGTGCAGGAGGGGTTTGTGAAGCTGTGGCTGAGCTCCACGGATCGAGGAGATAGGTTCCACTGGATCCAAGGAGAGATCCCTGGAACCCACCAAGCCCTTTTGCTCCGGTGGTGGCCGGCCAGCCTTTCTCCCCTGCTCCGCAAAGGCCGGCAGCCCCAGCCTGATGGGGCAACAAGTTGCATCAGCCCTCGCCTGCCTCCCTGCTGCCTTCCACAATGCGTTTTCCTTTCCTAATTTTAGGACGAATATCTCTCTCTCGTGGCAAGACTCATCATCCATTTCCGGGATATTCGTAAGTAGCCCTTTTTGTTCCTGTGGGTTGGCTTAAGGCCATTTTTCCTGACTGCCTTATCCTGGGGTGGGAAGGAGCCAGAATGGGGAGCTCGCATCAAGTCTTAACCCCACCCCACCCTTTCCAAGCTGGAATTTGGAGCCAGGTTCTCAAGAGTGAAGAAAGTGCTCTGTCTGGGCCTGGTCTCGGAACTCCAAGGAGAATTGTTTGTGTGATGCTGAGCTCTTGGAAGGAATGGGGAGAGGGAGGGGAGGAAGGAAGGAAGGAAGGAAGGAAGGAAGGAAGGAGGAGGGTACGAAAGGAAAGAGGGAGGGAGGGAGGGAGAGAAGGAAGGAAGGAAGGAAGGAAGGAAGGAAGGAAGGAAGGAAGGAAGGAAGGAAGGAAGGAAGGAAAAGAGCTGAAAATGAGGAATGAGAAAGCCAGGCCCAGCATCCAAGTCCTCCCATTGAAGAGCTTGAGCAGCTTTCAGGAGAAGGTGTCTCCTTTGCATTTGAGGATCCTATGTAATAATAATAGTGATAATATAATTACTCATCTTGTTTCAGATGGCCTAATTATTTTTCTGGAAAATGAGTCTTTTCCAGGGAATGAGGGATATTGGCATTAACTCTGAGCCCCCAAACATCCTCAGAAATGACACTTTGTTTTGGGCCTAGAATCCCATGGGAGGGAGAGCCCAAGATTTTAGGGGCTCCAGCACCCCACTTTTCATTTCCAGCTCACAAATTTGAAAGGACCTTAAAGAAAAAACCCATGTTCCCCAGCAGAAGCCCTATTGGCCCAGTCGGGTCATTCCCTAAATCTCTGTGTACAACTGTTTCCCCCTTTTGTTTCCTAGACAACAAGAAGTCCCTGGCCTCCGTCAGCGGTAAGGAGCCCTCTTTGTCCCCTTCCTTTGTAGTGACGCTTCCTAGGGCCTCTTCCAAAAGCGAAGGCCAGGCTGGAGGGGTAGGTACCCTGGGCTGCCCGAGGCTGCTGGATGGAAAGAGGAAGTGGGCTCTGAAAAACACATTCTGACACCGCTTCAGCCTCTTCCAAGGTTGCCAGAATCAGAATTCTACTGCACAGAAGACGGGTCGGCACTGGGGGAGGGGGGGGGCACGGCTACATCTTCGTCTGAGTTGACGGAGCAGAGCAGATGCAGCTGTCTGTTTTTTCTCCCCAGATCCTATGAACGCGCTGCAGAACCTGACTGGTGGTCCTTCAGCAGGACCAGGGGCCATAGGGATGACTTCTCGTCCTCAGGGGGCCTCCCTGGTCGGGTTGAGTGGACTCGGGCCCCCCATGGGGCAGCCAATGAATCTCCCAGGGCAGCAGCCTCCTGGACCTGCCGGGATGGTCCCTCACGGCATCCCCAACATCCCTGCTGCCAGCCAGCCGAGTAAGTATTTGGGGTAGACCTTGGTGGAGATTTCCTCTGATGGGTTTGGAATTGTGGGGAAGCCTCCCCTGGGACTGCAAACACTTTGTCTCTGTAGACGATTGCAAGAAGATCTTTTTGAATACAAGACTCAAAGCCCAATGATTGTGAGGTGCAGGGAGGAGACGGCAGCCAAATAGGAGGACTGCTGTTGTGCAGAATCAGGGACCTTCACTCCAAAACGTGTTTTGGTGCGCATTCAGCATGTGGCCCTTTGTGTCTCTCTCTTCAGCCCAGCTCCAGCTGCAGCAAATGGCTGCACAGCAGCAGCAGCAGCAGCAGCAGTTCCAGCAGCAGCAGCAGCAGCAGCAGCAACAGCAGGCCGCCCTGCAGCAGCAGCAGTTCCAGGCCCAGCAGTCAGCAATGCAACAGCAGCAGTTCCAGGTGCAGCAGCAGCAGCAAGCAGCAGCAGTAGCTCAGCAGCAAATGCAGGTGGCCCAGCAGCAGCAGCAGCAGCAAATGCTCAAGTTACAGCTGCATCAACAAAGCCAGCAGCAAGTAAGAGCAAAAGCTTCAAAGTCTCCAGCAGCAGGAGAGGGAGGCAGGCTCTGGTGGCCGAGGGCCGGCCAGGCCAGCTTCTGTGGGCATCCTGGGAGGGGCTGGGCTGGCTGCCCTGAGGCCATCAGTCTGCTCCACTCGGGACCCAAGGGAAAGAGGACCTGCATTTTCATAGCTGGGTCTCTGAATCTGCTCCCAAGTGCAGAAAAAGGAATCCAGGTGGACTTTGGTGTAGCTCCCACGGCCTCCAGCACCTGGGGCAGCGGAGCCTCCCCAGGGCCTTTCTGCTCCTCTTTCTGTCTTCCTGATAGCACTTCCTTCTCTTCCACTTCTGACTTCAGATGCAGCAGCAGCAGCAGCAGCAACTGCAGCGAATTGCTCAGATGCAGCAGCAGCTGCAACAGCAGGCCGCTCAGGCTGTTCAGGCCCAGCAGCAGCAGCAGCAGCAGCAGCAGCAGCAGCAGCAGCAGCAGCAGCAGCCACCTCAGCCCCCACCGCCGCAACCGATGCAGCAGCAGCAGGTGGCCCAGGCTCCTTCCCAATCGCTTCCTCCCCAGCCCCTGGTTTCTCAGGCACAGACCGTTCCGGGACAGATCCCTGGCCAAGTCATGTCCATGGCCATCCTGCCCCAGCAGTTAAAAGCCATGCAAGTAAGTGCTCAGAATGGCTACCTCTGATTGCCCATGTCCGTTTTCCCTCTTGCCCCTAAAGCCAGTAATATAGACTAGTCAAAGAAAGCAAGGAAATGGTTAAGAGTAACAAAGGTAATGAAAATGCAGAACAGTTTTGATGGGAATAAAAATTAATTTTAAAACTAGAAAAAAGGCTAAGCAAGAAATCTTCAATAGAGAGAATGGAGTTGAAACTAAAACTCATGAAATTATTTGCTATGCAGCTCCAGTCAGAGATAGCAACTTGTAGAGAAATGCTGTTGATGTCAAGAGGTGGATACTATAATGATATAAATGTTAGGATTTAAAAATGATGAAAAGGAAGTGTAAAAATGTTGAACAATTGTAAGGCTGCCCACTTAGATGTTATATATTGAGAGATGTTAAAGCATGATAGAGTAAATAGATGTGAATTGAGAAAGTTTTGCAGGAATGTGAAATTTAAGATGTGTTGCTGAATGTAATTAAGAGTGGCATTTGATGAAAGTAAAATTTATGTAAATGTAGATGAAATGCCTTGCAATGTTTAGCACTGAGACAATCTCCCCTTGCTCAAAAAAATATATTTGTGGATTAAAAGTATATGAAATACTTGTGGTGATAGAAGTGCAGAGAGACAAAAAAGTTTAGCTTGTTGATTAAAACCTGGTTTTCAGCATATCTTTAATAGATAATATGATACTACAAGGAATAAAAGATCTGAAAGTTAATGTATCAAAGTGGGATCAATGTGTTTGTCGGTGAAAATGGAGTGAACAGTTGCAAGTTGATATATCTATCAATTTATTACAACAAATAGATGAGAAAATCATGGATCTTGCAGTCCTGGTGGACAATCGCTAAAATATGAGCCAGCAGTGTGCTGCAGCTGCCGAAAAAGCCAACACACTGCTAGGCTGCATTAACAGGGATAGAATCAAGATCACGTGAAGTGTTAATACCACTTTACAATGCCTTGGTAAGGCCACACTTGGAATACTGCATCCAGTTTTGGTCATCACGATGTAAAAAAGATGTTGAGACTCTAGAAAGAGTACAGAGAAGAGCAACGAAGATGATTAGGGGACTGGAGGCTAAAAGATATAAAGAACGGTTGCTGGAATTGGGTATTTCTAGTTTAATGAAGAGAAGGACGAGGGGGGACATGATAGCAATGTTGCAATATCTCAGGGGCGGCACAAAGAAGAGGGAGTCAAGCTATTCTCCAAAGCACCTGAAGGCAAGACAAGAAGCAACGGATGGAAACTAATCAAGGAGAGAAGCAACCTAGAACAAAGGAGAAACTTCCTCACAGAACAATTAATCAATGGAACGACCTGCCTCGAGAAGTGGTGAATGCTCCAACACTGGAAGTTTTTAAGAAGAGACTGGACAGCCATTTGAAATGGTATAGGGTTACCTGCCTGAGCAGGGAGTTGGACTAGATGACCTCCAAGGTCCCTTCCAACTTTATTATTATTATTAAAATGTTTTCTAAGTATGAGTAAATGAAGAAATGCAAATACTGGCAAAAAACAAATAGTATATAGTCTATTTTAAAAAAACTATAAAGTAGCTAGATATAAGACTATGCTTCTATCCTGTAAGGACCCAACTCAGCTAACCACCCAAGAAAGCAGAACTCTTGAAACAGGCATTGTCTCAAAAGGAACTTTTATTAGGGGTTAGTGACAGTAGGGAAGTGAAGGTGAGATGGGGGGGGGGGAAACCAGCATAAACAGTATAATTCAAGAGGCATTCTTCCTCCTCCCACCAAAGTCATAAAGTTCATTTGAAATCCAGCCAATCCACAGGTCGCACAATCTTTGGGTAACCGGTACAGTTGGCACGCATCTCAAGGTCTTTTCCAGTTTTGTTTCTTCCATTCCCAGGAGGATAGGGGAGGGAGGAAGGGTAGAACTAAGCATAGATAAAGTAGAAAGTTACCCCATGTGAAAGTGTTCTCCCTTCCCCCACCAGAATGGCAGGCCCCAAAGTATAGCTAAATAAGCAGGTTTATAATAGGGATTTGGGGACCTGAAATACGCCCCCAGAAGAACAGGAAGTCCACCTAGAAGATTATTAAAAGGGAGAGGGAAACAGCCAAAATATTTACATTATTTAGGTTTATCAGCATATTTAGAATGGAAATATTTAAGGAGTCTAGGTGCCCTAACATGTTTCTTATACACCCACTTGTTTTGAGAGGAAGGAAGGTCCTTCCAGGCTACCACGTATTGTGTGGCCCCAGGGTGTTTGTGAGAATCTAAAATGTCTTTAATTTCAAAACGTTGTTCCCCTTCCACCATGATAGGCGTGGGCTCCTGGGGTGCTGGAGGCCTAAGTGTAGAGGTAACCTCCAGTTTGAGTAAGCTGCAGTGGAAAACAGGGTGGATTTGCCATAGGTTTGTAGACAAGTCTAATTCAACAGTAACCGGATTGATGATATGTTTAACAGGAAACGGTCCCAGAAATTTAGGGCCTAATTTCTTTGAAGGTTGTAAAGATTGTAAGTACTTAGTGGAAAGGTATACTCTGTCACCAACTTTAAATGGTTTCTGTTCCACCCTCTGTTCGTCTGCTTGTGCCTTACAAGCTTCCCTAGCATCATCTAATGCTTTCCTGACAACAGGCCATGTATTCTGCAGCTCTTTAATGCATTCCTGCAAGGAGGGTATTTCAGGCTCCTTAGCTCAGGCATGGGTACAAAAGTCTGACCACTGGCTACTTGAAATGGTATGAAACCCGTACTAGAATGCACAGCATTATTATATGCAACCTCAGCAAATGGTAGCAGATCAGACCAATTGTCTTGCGGATAGTTAATAAAACAGGTATTGTTCTAGAACTGAGTTCAGTCTCTCTGTCCCCCCATTGGTTTGAGGATGATGACTAGATTAGAACCCATTGTCCAGAAAGGCTTTCCAGAACTTAGAAGTGAATTGGACCCCCTGCCTGAAATTATACATTGTGGGGCTCCATGGAATCTATAAACACTTTGCACAGAGAGTTTGGCTAGAGTCTTAGCTGTTGGGATCTTTGGGCATGGCATAAAGTGGACCTGTCTGGAGAACAGTCTATTATTACCCAAATCACAGTGTTTCCAGCACTTTCAGGTAGTTCTACAATAAAAATCCATAGAAATCTCTCTGGCTCTGATGGACTCACAACTACTGGAGTAGTCCAGGAGATTTCCCTTGTCGTCATTTAGCTGCTGCACATGTAGGGCAGTTGGCGACATAGCTTTCTATGTCCTTTTTCAAAGCAGGCCACCAAAACTGCCTCTTAAGAAGGTGTAGAGTTTTTACAAATCTGAAATATCCAGCAGTTTTTGAGTCGTGTCCTGCCTGCATTACTTTTAAGTCTTAAGATTGCTGGGACATAAAGTTTTTCTCCAGTCCAAGCTAACCCGTCTTTCAGTACACACAGGTTATTGTGATTCCAAAACCATTGATCAGTTTCTAATGCTGTTTTGAAATCCTGTAGCAATGTTTTCCCTATAGGGCAGTGATGGCGAACCTTTTAGAGACCGAATGCCCAAACTGCAACCCCAAACCCACTTATGTATTGTTGGGTGCCGGGTGGGCGTGGCCCATTGGATGGGTGTGGCCTATTGGGTGGACGTGGCTGCAGTGGTAATGGCAGACTGGGTGGGACTAAAAAGTTCAATCAATCAATTCCAACTTTCCGAGATCTTTTTTTTCCCCGCAAGAAGTTGAAGTTGATTGATTGAACCTTTTTTTTTTGCACATGGTGGTGGAGGCCTAAAGCAAAAAGGTTTTATAAAACCCATCTGAAGGCCTAGGACTGGGGTGATGGCAAGCGCGCCCACAGAGAGGGCTCTGAGTGCCACCTGTGGCACCCGTGCCATAGGTTTGCCACTACGGCTTTAGGGGTTACTGTGCTTGTCTGGGCCCTGGTGGTGACTGGGGCTGGCAGCTGATGAGGGCTTAAAAGTGGTTTAACCACTTCTGCTTTCTTACTATTATATTGTGGCAGCTGGGACAAGGTGTTCACTAAGAAATTTTTTCTCCCAGGGATGTAATAGATAGTAAAATCAAAATGGTGAAAGTGTTGGGACCATCTTGCTTGTTTAGGAGAGAGTTTCCCAGGAGTTTTCATCACTTCAAGATTCCTATGATCAGTCCATACTTGAAATGGTATTTTACCCCCTTCTATGAAATGTCTCCAGGTGAGGAGAGCCCTTCACACAGCATAAGCTTCCTTCGCGCAAGCCGCCCACCTATGTTCAGTCTCAGATAATTTCCTAGAGGTGTAAGCACAGGGTTGCAATTGTCCCTCTTTATTTCTCTGTAATAGGACCGCTTCTACAGCCACATTGCTGGCATCAGCTTGAATTATAAAAGGCTGTTCTGGTTCTGGATGCTTCAAAACCAGCTCCTTGGAAAAAAAGTCTTTTAAGTTTCTTGAAAGCAGCTTGGCTGTCCCCGTCCACTTTAATGGTTGACTAGGCTTCAGTTTATCTCCCCCTTGTGTTTTTAGTATGTTTGTGATAGGGAAGGCAATCTGTGCGAAAGATGGGATTAACTGTCTGTAAAAATGTGCAAATCCTAGGAAACTCTGGAGTTGCTTCCTAGTTTTTGGAGGAGCCCATTCCAGGACTGCCCTTACTTTCTATGGGTCCATCTCTATCCCTTCATTGGATATATGATAGCCCAAGTAATCAATGCGATTTTTGTGAAATTCACACTTTGACAACTTAGTACAGCCATACTGGCTGAGGAATTCTGGGAGTTGAAGTCCACAAGTCATAAAATTGCCATGGTTGGAGACCCTTGACTTAGCTTAGCCAAGCATAGTTTTTTGAGTACTGCTCTGACTAGCTTAATGTGTTCGTCCATAGTTTCAGTGTAAATAAGGATGTCATTCAGGTAAACCAAAAACCCCTTATACAGGTGCTCATGCAGGACTTGATTTGATTAATTGCATAAACACTGCAGGGGCCCCTGGCAACCCAAAAGGGAGGACTTTAAATTGAA